ACTTGGGGTGAGGAAGATCGTATTGGCCACCAACATTGCCGAAACCTCCATCACAGTTAACGACATTGTGCATGTTGTAGACAGCGGCCTGCACAAGGAGGAACGCTATGACCTCAAGACCAAGGTGGTGCCTCTCTCTTGGACCCAGCCCACCCTTTGGGGGAGGACTCCTGTTCGTTCTGAGGTTATCCCCTGTCCCTATCTGCTGTAGACATCTTTTTTTGAGTAAAGACCGTACTTTTGGGAAATGTCCCTGTTGAGTGATGAGGGTGACTGGAGAAGTGGGTAGGTAAGGCCTGTAGCATGTGTAGGTTTCCTGCCTTCCCCCAGGTGTCCTGCCTGGAGACCGTGTGGGTGTCTAGAGCAAATGTGATTCAGCGCCGGGGCAGGGCAGGCCGCTGCCAGTCAGGTTTTGCCTACCACTTGTTCCCGAGGAGCCGGCTGGAGAAAATGGTTCCTTTCCAAGTGCCAGAGATCCTGCGCACACCTCTCGAGAACCTGGTGCTGCAAGCCAAAATCCACATGCCTGAGAAGACGGTACGGCAGAGGCAGGGCTGGCTTGCTCCTGGACAGGTCAAGTGGGTCACAGGCTCATGGGGTGTGGTTCTTGTTGCTATAGGCAGTGGAGTTCCTCTCCAAGGCTGTGGACAGTCCCAATATCAAGGCAGTGGACGAGGCTGTGATACTGCTCCAGGAGATCGGTAAATGGAGGCTAGGAGTGGTTGGGGTGTCAAGTAGTAGCTCATGGGTGGGACTGACAGCTGAGCTGTTGCAGGGGTGCTGGACCAGCGGGAATACCTGACCACCCTGGGGCAGCGCCTAGCCCACATCTCTACCGACCCCCGACTGGCCAAGGCCATAGTGTTGGCTGCCATCTTCCGTTGCCTGCACCCACTGCTGGTAGTTGTTTCCTGCCTTACCCGGGACCCTTTCAGCAGCAGTTTGCAGAACCGGGCGGAGGTGGACAAGGTTAGAGCCAGTGTTTCCTATAGCCCTCTTACTGTTTTGTTTATTCATACCTCACCCGTTGTCCTGAGCCGGACTCTGGTCTTTCTCCTGAACCCCGTACATTCTCTCCCAGGTGAAAGCATTGCTGAGCCATGACAGTGGCAGTGACCATTTGGCCTTCGTGCGTGCTGTGGCTGGCTGGGAGGAGGTGCTGCGTTGGCAGGACCGTACCTCCCGGGAAAACTACCTGGAAGAAAACCTTCTGTACGCCCCCAGCTTGCGCTTCATCCACGGTCAGCCCGGCCCCCAAGAGGGCCATTCCTGAGCACCTCCCACCCGCAGAGCTCCCCCATCCCTAGCCTTGCTTGAGGCAGTGCCTCTGTTCACACTGTACTTTGCTTGCCTCCCCAGGGCTCATCAAGCAGTTCTCAGAGAATATTTACGAGGCTTTCCTGGTGGGAAAGCCCTCTGACTGCACACTGCCCTCTGCTCAGTGCAATGAGTACAGCGAGGAAGAAGAGCTGGTGAAGGGTGTGCTAATGGCCGGCCTCTACCCCAACCTCATACAGGTGCCTCCTCTAGGATAGGGGGCTGTTCAGGTCCCCACCTCTCCACCCCTAGCTCCTTGCTCACGTTTCCTCTGTCCCTTTAGGTGAGGCAAGGTAAGGTGACTCGGCAGGGGAAGTTCAAGCCCAACAGTGTCACTTACAGGACCAAATCTGGCAACATCTTGCTGCACAAGTCAACCATTAACAGGTGGGTGGCAGGCAGGACTAGAGAGGGAGGGCCTCAGAGAGTGGCCAGAGCTGTAGCTTCACATTACAAAGCACTTCGTTCCCTAGGGAGGCTACCCGCTTACGGAGCCGATGGCTGACATACTTCATGGCTGTCAAGTCCAATGGTAGCGTCTTTGTTCGAGATTCCTCCCAGGTGCACCCACTAGCTGTGCTGCTCCTGACCGATGGGGATGTCCACATACGTGGTGGGTACCTCTCCCCTCCACCACTCCCCAGGGCCCTCATGGACTCGAGAGACATGGCCAACATAGACTCCCTGTCTTTGCCCTTCTCCAGATGATGGGCGCCGAGCCACCATCTCTCTGAGTGACAGTGACCTTCTGCGGCTAGAAGGTGACTCACGAACTGTTCGGTTGCTAAGGGAGCTGCGGCGAGCCCTAGGCAGAATGGTGGAGCGGAGCCTGCGAAGTGAGCTAGCTGCACTTCCACTAAGTGTGCAGCAGGAACACGGGCAGCTGCTTGCACTGTTGGCAGAGCTGCTGCGGGGACCTTGTGGTAGTTTTGATGTACGCAAGACAGCTGATGACTGAGCCCCTCTTCCGCTGGGGCTATGTACAGAGTGCAAATGTTTATTTAAAATAAAGTTATATTTATCCCTTGTGAATGCTGTTGTCATCCCAAGGGCTCCTCTCAGGATTCTGGGCTCTTAGCCCCAAATCAGGGGGAACAGATAAATGCTTACTGCTAGGGATACAGAGCTGGTGTGGCCCAAGTCCTAAGGGAGGAAGGGGCTTAACCTCCACCCTTCAAGAGTGAGCCACCAGAGCTGTCAGCACATTTCACCTGCTTGGCCAGGCTCAGCACTGACACAGTTGCGGGCACCAGGTGCCCGCAGGAGAGAGCCCTAGGCAGCCTTGGTTTGTGTATTGGTCCTGCAGGGAATGCTGGGCATTTGTCGGTGGCCACGCCCGTGTCTCACAGATAAGGGCGGGGCCTCAGTCTCATGCATTCTAGTTCTCAGTTTCCACACCTGATTCCCCACTGTTCACATGCATTCTGGACATCTCAGGCTCCACCCGGCCATGAGGGCACAAAGGGATAAATACGTAGGTATAGGGACTAGCATGACAAGAACACAGCCTGTGTGATGGGATGTCAGGCAGCTTTATTGTTTAAATCAGTACAATTACAATCGACACAGGTAAAATGGCTAAGCCATGAGCAAACTGAAAGTACAGAAAGATCTCACCCCCAAGCGTTGCAAAGTATACACATCACGTGGCCTATGGTTCCAATCAGCCACATCAGCCTTCTTAGGTTGACTTGTGGGACCATCCCAGGGAGCTGGACCTCTTATTATAGTCTACCTGGAGAGCTTAGGCCACCTTCCTTTCTCTAATCCTTTGGCCAATGGACTCTTGTTAATTTCAGCATCAAGGCTCCAGGATAAGCATCAAGGAGGTTAACAAGTACCTTTATGCCCTACACCATCAGCACCCAGGCCCTACTGCTTCCTTCTCCCTAGTTCCATCTCGCCTCTTCTTGCTGAAAAAATACTGACACTGAAGGCTCCATGCAGCTTTCTACAGACAGCCCGCAAAGAAAGCCACTCCCTGGTTCAAGCGGTACTTTTCCCACAGGCCCCTGCAATTCCTTGTGCGTGAGTTTGGAGAGCTAGGGTGTAACGATATCTGAAAAGAAACTGCTGCCTCAAAAATGGACCCAGGGATGACTTCCTTGGGCAGAGAGAGAGAGTACAGACCTATCTATCTGCTTAAGCTGTACCCAGAGCAGAAATGGAGGTTGTGCCAGGAGGAGGGTCAAGGGGGTGAGATCTGGGCCAGCCTCCTGACAGGCAAATCTGCACAGCAGAAAATGCCTCACCAGGAGAGCCCCTCCTAGGCCATTTCACTACAAACTTAGGTTTGAATCCTTTATTAGAAACCATGCAAACTTTAATACAAAAAAATACAAGTGCAATAAGAATCTTGTGTTGATAAAATTCCCAGGATTTTCTCAGCATTGCAGCCATTCCACCGACCCATAAATAGATGACACTGGGATGGCTGTGCCACCATGACTGGCCTGGCCTCTCCTGCTCCTCTCCAGTCAGTCACACCACAAGGAAAGTGGGGTGGCCTCAGTCTCATGCATTCTAGTTTTCAGTTTCCACACCTGATTCCCACTGTTCACATGCATTCTGGACATCTCAGGCTCCCCCAGACATGAGGGTTTAGGTGCCTTGGCCTGCAGGTGCAGGTCAGGGATTTTGACCTTCATTTCTGTTTCTCCAGCCCTGGTTTTGTATCACACCATGACCACTGGATCCCAGGGAAAGAGACAAACGCTAAAAACCAGCCTCTTGGTTAGGGGGAAAAAGCAGCATACACACAATGCCAGCACAGCCAGTCACACTGGCCGGCTCTAGCTGTCCATCTGCTCTCTAGGCAGGAGCCCTGCTTCCCACAGGGTCCCAAGCTGCCCAGAGTACGGGCAGCCCCCAATGCCTGACAGCCTCCTCAGAGGAGACTCAGAACCTCCTCCCCTGCTCCCTTCACCACCTACTGAGAACTCTCATTTAGACGTGGCTTCAAGCAGCAAACTACACCACCAGTTCATAGGTTACTGGGAAATAAGAACAAGAGAAAGAGAGTGAGACAGCAGCTATCCAGGTATGATGCGCAGCGGGACAAGGGGCAACTGACCCTGACTAACTCGAGGCAAAAGGGCCTAGTGCCACTTGCAGGGCAGCTTCCACTGTGGAAGTCAAGGAGAAGGCAGTGGTTTAGGTTCCAGGGGATTCCATCAGTGCTGGTTACCACCTGGAGTCACCTCTACTTGTCCCCCTCCAAGTCGAACCAGGAAAGAGAGGGAAGGTTTGTCAGTTTCTTTTGGGTTTGGTCCAAAAAACCCAAACATCAGAGACTGGAATCCAGCACCCCGCCCATAGATCCCAGAGAGATGCCATTAGACTCCCATCCCCTCCCAACTTTGCCCATACAGCAGTGGGGTGCAGTGAGTGGTAAGTCAGTGAAGATGGAGCAGGGCCCAGAAGGGGTGAAGGAGGTGAAGGCAGTGGGGGCTGCCGCCGCCTGAGCAAGCTAGGCAGGAGGGAGAGAGGCCTACAGGGCAGCTCAGCACCCAAGAGCTTACAAGTCTAGTAGACAGCCCGGGAAAGGGAGCCCAGGGCCCGGGACCCCAAGCTTGGGTGGCCAGGGAAGTGGGGAGGCCGGGAGACAATGTCGGCCCCATGGTCGGTGCGGGCCCTGGCATTAGCCCGGAACGTCAGCTTGTAGGTCTCAATCTGCAGTGACACGTGAGGAGGGATGGGAGAGGGCAACACGGAGGGGGAGACAAGAGAGGGAACATAGGGGAGATGGAAGACGAGACCAGAATGTCATCATTAGATGCCTGGAAGATAAAAGGTTACTTTGTTAAAATTTAGGCCACACTCCAGTCATAAAACAAAGGAGTTTCAATTTTCAGCCAGTGACAGGGCCCCTGGCTGGCCCTTAGGCCAAGCCCAGCCACTTACTTGTCTCCTGGATCTGGCTGTCCAAGGTCTGGGGCTCCCTTTGGTCACCACCCCCCGACAGGGTGTTGTGGCCACTGAGGCCACTGGCTGAAGTAGGAGCGCCAGCATCAGGCGCAGCCTCGGGGATGGCCGGCTCCTCCCCAGCAGGGAGGACCGGACACGGAGGGGCCTCACTGCCACCGCCCTCAGTCTACAATGAAACAGTGGGGGAGACAGTGAAGGGTCAGTCGGGGAGGGAGTGGGATGCATGATGTGGTGGTTTCATACACAGTCTTCCCAGCCCACACCCCAGCAGCCACTGGCTCTTCACCAGGTGTTTACCCCCTCCCTCGCACTGACTCTCAAGATTGGAGTTGCTGGGATAATGACACTCTTGGGAGTCTCATTATGGAACTCTGTGAATCTCATCAAGGCCGATACAAAAAACACCGCTAGGACAACAACAAACTCGGAAGAGCACACAGCAGTGCACTAAGCCTAGCTGGGAAATAGGGGTGCCCCACAGCCAGTGCTGAGAGGGCCTTTGGTAACGAAGTAGGTCCCACCCTGCAGGCTCATCTGTGTGGTGCGGTCTCCTCACCATACAGCATCTTTTATGCTGGGTGCCATTCAGAGCACATCAACACAGAGGAAACAGGAAGAAGGCATCCAAAGACTATAGCCAGGAACATTATTTCAGGGGCTTATAGAGGCCAATAGGAGGATGCCCAGCAGGGGTCAAGCAGAAAACAGTGGGAGCTCTTAGTGAAAGCCCAGCAGGCGATAGTGGATACAAAGAACAGAAAAAGGAGAAAAGTGGAGAAAGGAAAGTAACACAAAACTTAGAACAGAAAAGCCTGGGTGTGAATCTCAGGGTGCGTTCACTTCCCGCCGTGGCCATGAACCAACCAGACTCCAAATCTGTAACGTCCCACACAGACAAACCGTTATCCGAAGAAGAGTCAGGGCTAGGAGGAAAGGACAGCTGCACAATGCCCAGCACGCAGACCATGCTCCCTGCCCTTGCCCACTTCCCCTGAGCATCAGCAGCTTTGACCTGCATGGGTCTCCCCACCTGCCCAGACACGGAATGAGGGATAGATGGAGTCTTGGCACACAAAAGGTCTCACAGTACTGTGGAAAGAGGGGTGAGGAAAGAGGAGAGGCCCAGCCAATGTCAAGATATGCAAGTCTGTCTCTGTTCTTATGCTCTCCCAGAGACTGGCGCAGGGTAGGCAAGCGGCAGTACCCCGTGCCTGGCAGTTTAAATGACAGTCAGGGAACTATGTGCAGAACGCCAGCTTACCGTCTCACCTAGGCCCCAACCCACATTCCATCAGAAAATGGCTGGGATGTATCCAATAAAGACGATAGCTCTCAGGAGCAGACACTGCCACCAGCTGAGAGGTGGCTGGGGCTCTTTGCCTCCTCTGCCTCACTCTGGACTAATGGTGGTAATGGAGACAGAAATGGTGTGAGTGGACATGTAACTTCTGAAGAAACTGAGGGGCGGTGACAGTCCTACTAAGTCCATTCCAACTGCACACACCACTCTAGATGCACACTGGTGACCCACTCACTACCTTCACGGCGCCTCCTGCAGGTAGGTGGCCAACATTATCAAGGGATCCCACTTTGGCCTGGGCCTTCTCCTTGAAGTTTAACTTCTGACTTTCAATCTTGACATCTCCTCCACCTGGAACAGCAAAGGCAGTGGTCACTGAGGGTTTCAGAATACACCGGTGGCAGTCAGGAGCCTGGCCTATCACTTCTAGAACAAGGAAAATGACCCAATCAATTCCTGGGTGGTTCTTAGAACAAAAGAGGCAATGGCAATACTTCCCTCCCCTTGGAGGAAAGGCTGTTCTCAAAGCACTGATGTGAGGCCTGAAAGGACTTCTGATTCTCCAGGTCCCACAATTCTCCTAAGTGTTCCATCAGCCAGGGGCTTGACTGTTCAGTTGCTCACGTTGATGCTTAGTGAATGACAGGGAGAGGACATGGACATTGATTGCTTGAGCCAGAGAGAAAAGAAGGAACAGAGCAAATCTGGAAGTAGGAGCTGAGAAAGGGCTGACAGGGCCAGAGACCTCTGGCTGGGGTAGAAGGGAAGGCTACGTGCACACAAGGGCAACGTGGAGAGCACGCGGCCACACTAGGGTTCAAGGGGAAAGTGCACACTGCAGGCATGACCTCCTATTCCTTTCCACCTGCACTCAGCCTACACCCACTCAAGTTCCCGACAAACTACCAGGTTTCCTCCCCACTGCCGAGCTGGCCCTGGCAACACCAGGCCTCAATTCCCTTCGTGACATTAGGGCAAGAGCAACGTCATGAATGGATTTCCCAGATAAATAAGGACCACAGTGTTTAGTCTTCCACCGAAGAATACAATCTAAATTGGGTATCCCAATCCCAGTACTTGGAAGGACAAGTGGGAGCACTGTTAAAAGTTCAAAATCACAACAAAACCAAGGAAAACAAACAAACTAGCCTGGAGCCTACTGAGGGGAGGAATTTTCTGTGCCTTCAATTTTAACTGTCCCAGGAGCTGATCTCAGGAGACATCAGGTCTGGCACCAGACCTCACAGACCCTTGTCAGCTGTGTTCAGAAACAGAGCACAAGGCCTCCGTAGGACTGTCAGTGATGGTGCCAGAGGGAAATGCCACTGGGACAGCTACTAGATCCTCAGCATTCCAAAAGCCCCTTTTCTGATGTCAAGGCTGGACAACTAGGAGTCTCTGCTTGGGGCTTCATTTGTTAAAGGACCTGCAACAAGTCTGAACATCATTCCACTCCTTCAACAATAGCTCCCAGCATGCTAACCTGGGAGGCTGGCCCAGGTCAACAGTGCCAGGCACACAGCATACAAGACTACCAGGCACAGGATGTAAATATCACCAAGGGAACAGCTGTGAAAATGGTCAACAAACTGTTCCTCCTCCAACAAAAGGGCAATACCCAGCCACCATCTCTGACAGGGTTGGAAAGCAGTGCTGTTTCCATCAGGCACCCTAGGTGGAAGATAACTCAGAGATTTTGTTCTTTCGTTTTTTCTTTTCTTTTCTTTCTTTCCTTTTTTTTTTTTTTTTTGTTTTTGTTTTTGTTTTTGTTTGTTTTGAGACAGAGTTTCTCTGTGTAGCTCTGGAGACATTCCTGGAACTCACTCTGTAGATCAGGCTGGCCTTAAACTCACAGAGATCCGCCTGTCTCTGCCTCCTGAATGCTGGCATTAAAGGTGTGTGTCACCACTGCCTGGCTCTGGCTCAAGTTCTGATGTCATGAAACAGGCCCACCTACCCCAAGGAGTCTCAGCACCACAGGCAGAGCCACTCACCAGGCTTGTGCTTGATATTAGCTTTGGACCCACACTTGGAGGAGACCTTGGAGATGTCCACTTTCTTGTTTTGAATCTGAACCTAGACAGAAGAACAGAAAGCAAATATCCTTAGAGAGAAGACACAGATCATCGATGAGGCCAGCCCACGTACATGAGCTCCCTTGGTTATCCTCATTTCAAGTCTGGTCAAGGTCAAGGCCACATCCTAAAATACTTACAAGAGCCAGTGATCTACTATAGCCTTTGTCTTTACCTCTGACTCCATTCCCCTGCCCCAAGTCTTCCTTTCTACCCTCCAGAACTGTGCCTCTTTGTAGGGTACAAACACTAACATTAAGGCTCTCCTACAATGCCCATCAGGGTTGATCTAAAAGCCTTATCTACCGAGCAACTCCTTGTCCATGGAAACCTAGACTAATAATTACTGCGTATCCTTCCAGTGTTTTCAATGCACATCCCCCAGATCAGTGCATGGCCATGTGTGTAGCTTTGGACTCCTATAGGCTTCATGAATAGTCAGTCTCCCAGGAAAACAAAAACGCACAAAAGGGCCACAAAAATGATCTGCACAGCTGCTGCATACACCTAACTCATCAACTCAGCACTTGGGTTATTTCCCATTTCTGCAAAAGAATTACCTTTAAAATGTAGAGTAAAGTTATCAATTTAATTATTTTTACATTTCATGTTAGAAAGACGAACTTTTACTTTTGTGTTTGAGTATTCTGCCTGCATGTTATATCTGTGCATCATTTACATATCTGGTGCCCACTGAGGCCAGAAAGGAGGTGTTAGAGCTCCTAAAACTAGAGTTGTATATAGGTGAGAGTTCGCATGTACGTAAAGAGAATCAAATAACCACTGAACACACACTCTCTCTCCAGCCATACCTGGTACATGTTTAAAAAAAAAAAAGTAGCGTCACAGGACAGCAGTATCCTCCCTCGCCTAGCAACACATATTTTGTTGTTTTGACACATACTCAACTTTGCTGATGCAGCCTTCAGCCTTCAGAATGCTAGGATTACAGTACCATACACAGGAGCTATGATTATTTTTCAGACTAATTTTTAAATGTGCTTCTTAGCCATGGAAGATATGTACCTTCCTAGGATACTTGTTCTTTTCTAGCAGTCAGAGTGCTGCCAGAACAGTCCCATGTGTCCCTAGAGGCTGCTCTCACCATACACAATTAGCTTTCTTGCTTCCTTCAGGCTTTAATAGACTTTCATTTACAGATAAGATACTTTGTCTGTTTAGAAAATAATCAACAGAATGAAGTGCCTGACAAGATCATGCTCCCCATGCAGATTGTGCAGGCAAACTTCTCTAATCCCAGCACTCAAGGAGGTAGCTGGAGCTCCATGAATTCCAGATCATTCATGTTTTGTTTACCTTTGAAAGATAGACCTCATACTAACATAGATAGCCTTGAACACCTGCCAATCTAAATCTAAGGCAATCTTCCTGCTTCAGGGTACTGTCGTCAGCTAAAAAAGCTGGCTGTTACTGAAACTAGCCCACCAATGTATACTGAAGCAAGGATGCCTATCTATCCCCGAGATCACCTGTGGTAAATTAACAGAAACAAACCACTCTGTCAGTCTGAGACTAGGTTCTTTCCAAATTTGAAGTTACACTCAAGGCCTCCCTTTACCTCCTAACTATACCTCAATGAAAGAAAAGCCAGTGAGGCAAAATTCTGAATAAAAGGCATATTCCAGCCCAAAACTAAATGGTTGCTGGCAGTCTCATGATGATAATTTCTTCTGATACCACAAATATGACTGACGGCTGATGGAGCATCATGCCAAAATGTGGAAGAAAAATGTAAACTTAAATCAACTTAAAGAAAACTGAAGAACAAAGGAAAAGTAAATAAGAGCACAGGCAGCAGACAGGAAAATAAACATTCCATAGACAGGATGGGATTAGGGAGATAGCTTTGTGGGTAGTACAAGTGATAGCTATATAGTGTAAGGACCTGAATTCAAATCTTCAGATATGACATAAAACCTAGATTAACAGCAACAGCAAATTCACAGAGAGAAGGAAAATGTCTGGGAACTCCCCAGCCTGCCTGGGGTAGGAGCAGATAAATGACAAAAGACCTCATCTCAAACAAGGCAGGGTTCAACCAAGGCTGCCCTCTCACCTCTATCCATGTGCTAGGACTTGAGTACACATGTATGTACACACACGCACGCACGCACGCACGCACGCACGCACACACACGGAGGTGGATCTCAGAGTCTGAGGCCAGCCTGGTCTACAGAGGAAGTTCCGGAACAGCCAGGGCTGCACAGGGAGGCCCTGCTTTGGGGAGCAGGGTGTGAAGAAAAAGGAGCCAGGTGGCAGTAGTACACACTTGGGGAGGCAGAGGCAGGTGGATCTCTGTGATTTTTGGTTTGATGATTTTATTAATTTATTATTTAAGACAGTGTCTTTCTACGTAGTCCTGGCTATCACAGAACTCATATTTAGATCAGGCTGGATTTGAACTCTTATCTCTTTAAGGAACACCTTGGTATGCAACCAATCATAGGCTGATCCTCTGCCCTGTTCTGCCTGTGAGTTTTCAAGGCTATGGCTGGCCTGTGACATCCCCCACACCAACACATGCTATTGAAACGAGCTGCCCACAGATCAGAGCACTTACTTTCCCTATTATAAGGGTGACAGAGGACCCAAACTGCCATAAAATCTTATGTTGGGACCAGCTACACATAGAAGCAGCTGAAACAGGAGAGCGGAGCACATGACTTCCTTATCTTTCAACGTACTCTGGGTGTGCAGCTTGGGAACACTTGGGGAGCACTGTGCCTGTGATTCTAGTAGTAGAAGGAGGATACAGCAGAATCCTTGGTGTGTTAAATAATAATTATTCATGGTTCTATTTATGTAGCATATGCATCAGTCTATTCTGTGTAATCTGCTGTGATCCTCCAGTGGTGCCTAGGCAGGATTTTAATTTTTTTTGGGGGGGGGGGTGAGCATAGGGTGAATGCACTTTTCAGGAGGCTATCTTGAGACGAGGATATTAAAAAGCTTTTTGATGGTGTTTTCAGGTTGAAAGGTGAGGGCAAACTGTAGGTTCACAAAGTTAGGAAGGATTCTGCTGTATCTATCTTCTGAGTACTAGACTCACAGGCATGTGCCACCACACCTGGTTTATGCCATGCTGGGGATTGAACTTCTGGCCCATGAATGCTGGGCAAACACTCTAACAGATAAATACGCCAAAACACCAAAACACTAAATCCTGTCACACACAGAAATAAATTAATCCCTTTAGAATTCCTGTTCACTCACATGTCTACCAGGCTAAGAACCCAAAATTAAAAGCTACATCAGTACCTCCTGTGGTCGCAGAGGCTGACTCCTAAAGTACATGATGTCTTTCAAGGTCTTAGTCACTGTAGCCAACCTCACCTCACACTGTACCGTAGTGCAAAGCATGGGGAGTCTGACATTAAGAACCACTGAGCCAGGGGGTTGACTGGGGGAAGGAACACGCTTGGCTGCATTCTTCAAAATAAAACCTCAAGGGGGTGTTTACAGACCTGGGCAGAATGGGGGAAGCAGGGGAGCAGAAAGAAAAGAACGAAAGCAGAACAACAGCCCAGCTCAGGATGTCAGTCTCTCTTGAATGGGAGGCAAGCGTAGGTGCCATGGGGGTGGCCCTGTACTGTGCCCCTGGTACAGCAATGCAGACTTCCACCTGTGCAGGAACCATCACAGGAACAAGTAGAAAACACCCACTAAGTGACAATGACCCCTTGAGCTGTTTCCCCAGACCAGAACTTCCTTGTGAGCTGTAATCACCAGCACCCCCAACACATGCAAAGAGCTAACATGTACAGCACTGTGAAAACAAGGGAGATGTTTAGATGAACAGACTGAAAGAAAAGGGACTAAAAGGTGAAGACGTGAGCAAAAAAAAAAAAAAAAACAACCCACAAAGGAAGAATACAGATAGAAGCAGGAGTGGTAGGGTGAAATGCTGGTTAATACTGTTTTTGTAATGTTAAAGATTTAAGCACAGGGGGTACCCCGGGGAAAGAATTCTCTCAGGGATGCTCAGGCACACAGTCAAGTCTGTACATCTCAAGCAATGCGAACTTCCGCCTTCAGAGCAGAGACCTCTGGCTCAGATAGAGAAAACCACAAAGCCTCCCACATTTGGGTGAGATGAGACCACCCACTATATATATATATATATAGGCTTCTAGCTCCCATCACTTGGCAGGCCTGCTTCTTGGCAAATACCCAACCCAGACCACTGTAATCCTGCCGGGGTTTCCCACAGAGGCTATGCCTCAAACACCAACTGACCAGATCTTATACTTACATTGCCACCTCCAGGGACATGCTTAATATTGTCCTTGGAACCACACTTGGATTGAATATGGCTGTAGCTCACTTTTTTGGAGACTATCTGGACCTGGAGTGTTAGAGAACAGAGAGAGAGAAAACAAAAAACAAAAACAAAAAACACAAAGGGAGAGGGCTAGTTAGAACTTACACAGAGCAGGTACACATGTGATCACAATGCCAACAAAGAGTGACCTTAAACCTCTGTCCACACTTCTGTTAGAATAGGGGTTGGAAAACACATGAAAAGGAACATGAAAGTAAGAGAGGGAGTGAGTAGACAAAGCAACAACAGAGGCCGAACAATGCTGCCCTCACTGCTCATGGGGGCTGGGTTGTGGTTTCTAAGACTCAACAGGCCCCTGAGGCCTACCAAGTATCACCCCAACTTCTTGTCCAGATTCTTCTCTGAAGAACGGATACAAGGACTCTAGCTTTTTCTAGCAAGGATATTGATGCTCTGGACCAGATCCCATCTGGGTCCTGGAACTTGCAGCCAGATTCAGCCCCAGAAACAAAAGCTGCTCTAAGAATTGTTGGGCAGCCAACAGCACAGATCAGATAACAACAGGAAGGAAGACACTGTTTATATAAAAAGGCAAATGGCCACAGAATCCTGAACTGGATACCAGGGGAGCACAGGCCACAGACTCAGTAGCTGGCACACTTCACCCAACAATTTCAGGCTTTCAAGAAACAGTGGGACTCCTGCCATGTCAGAAACCTTTCATTCAACAAACTATGTGATAGGCAAGGAGGGACTTCATTTTCATTCTTTGTTTTGTTTGTTTGAAATGGGTCTTGACTACATGAATAAGCATGCCTGGGACTTGTTATGTACCCCAATCAGGCCTCAAACTCCTGGTTCTCCTGTCTCACCTGGGATTATAGCCAGCAAACCTGTCTTTACCATCATCTGAATCCTCTAGATGTGTAACAGAACAGACCAAAATGGTGGTATAGTGATGTCCAATTTAGGAGGGCACAACCATGCTGCACTACAACACCCTCACCTGGAACTGAGTGACATACAGGGTCCTTCTTTGGCCCTCCCTCCCCTTCCTCAGAACCAGGGGACCTTTGCTTCTCATGTCTTAACTTCCTTCATGACCTTAACAGTGGGTCACTGTTAGTAAACTACAGTGAGGTACCTAAACAAGGGACTACAGATTTTTTAGTGATGACCCAGCAGAAGTCACGATGCAGCTTTCACCATCCCATCATGCCCATCACAGCCGTTCCTGGGGTTGTGAGACTATATATCTTGGTCCTTATGGTCCAGAGCCCAGACAACCCACCTGCCTGCTATAGGAGGTACCTACCTATGTTTCAGTGTGTGAAAGTCACAACAAAGCTGGTTTTAGTTTCCTAATGCCCTTCAGCAGACACTGCAATCCCTACATGGGTGTTTTTCCACCATGGATGAAAATCCTAATAACCAGCTAAGAGATGAACTAAGGAAGGGGGCATCATGATGTAGCTCAGCAGTAGTATACCAAAGCCTTGGGTTTAAAAGGTATATCTCCAGAAAAAATAAAAATAAAAAAGATCAGGGAGCCAGCAGCAGCTTTATGAGGTCAGAAGACAGAGTGGCAACAAGGATCTGGATATTGCCACTGTTGTCTTCTGAGGAAGAACTTGAGTATGACAGATTTGTATGCATAATAAGTGAGTTTCAAATGCCAAGGAAGTGACTGACAGTTTGCAAGTTCCCTTCATCAAGTTGAGTAAGTATCCCCGAAATGGGGTATAAACTTGGTTAGCTTTCAAGGTTGATATAAAAACTGTGTGATGGCTGAGTCATTAACTAGAGGAAGGAACTCAGGAAGAAGCAGGAACCAGTCAAGAACAGGAGCAAAGTAGAATACAATAGAAAATGACTCAGGCTAGAAGAATGGTTACCATTTTACCTCAAAGAGGTAAACCTAAATAAAACTCACTTTCCCAGCAGGCGATCTCTGTGCACTTGCAATGGAACCAGCTGCTTTAGTGACTGCATTAGGTTCGGGTTTTCCAGCTGTGGCAGCTGCCTCAGTTTTTTTCTCTACTTTGGCCTGGATGAAAATAAAGGGGGGGGGGGGGCAAGTTTCAAACAAAGATGAGAGCCGAAATGCCAAGGAAGGAAGAGGGTGGGAGGGAAGAAAAAAGACCAAAAAAAAAAAAAAAAAAAAAAAAAAAAAAAAGGACCAAAAAAAAAAAAAAACAAAAAACAAACAAACAAAAAAAAACCCCTGAAACCAAACAAAAACAACAACAAAAAAAATCCAAAAACAAAACAAAAACAAACAAACAAAAAACAAAACAAAAAGACCCCCACAAAAGACCAAGGCCAGGATGTTAGGCAGAAAGAAGCAGGGTCACACTTGCCCCTAGGACAACACACTCCTAAACTAGATCCTCAGAGATCCCTGAGCAAGAGGCACAGGAGGAGGAACCACAGGCCAGAGCTGAAATAAAGATGAGATCATGCATTTATGGAGAAGAGGTTCAAAGCTAAGAAGATCCAATTGTTTTTTGTGAGCATGCTTGTGAGAATATCATCTTGTATCACAGTGTCCTCTTGACTTCAATACTCTGCTATCCAAGCACATGGTCATAGTCACCAGTGACAACAAGCATGATGTACATACATCAGGTTCACTGCAACAGATAATCCAGTCACTAGCCCAAGTTATCTAGAATCTCTTGAGCTTTTATAGTATGAAAATCTAAGAAGAGCAAAGATTAGGAGAAAGGTCATCTGTGGCTCAGTTGGGACCCTGGGCTGGTTGTCCATGGCAACCACTGTTTATCACCAAAAGTAACCCTGAGGCCCTCATCCCAGAATTGTCCCAGTTTGTCATCAATGTCATCCAAATGAACCATGATTCTTGTTCCTATTCAAATTTTGTTTTAAATGTTATGTGTGTGAGTGTTTTGCGTGCACACACCATATGCATGCCTGGTACCCACAGAGACCAGAAGAGGGCACTGAGCTCACTGGAACTGAAGTTACATACAAAAGTTTATTATGAGTCACAAATGTGGATTCTGGTAACTCAGCCTGGGTTCTTAATGAGTCCCATTTCCAGGACCCCTACTCAATTCTAAGCTTTGGGTTAAAGAAATTTAAGTGTCCTACTCTGGATCCTGTCAGAATAGTTCAAGTGCTAGCAAAGGATGTAACTGTTGACTCTAACCACCACAGTCTCAAGTGAAATTGTCTACCAATTCCTCCACATTCTGGGTTCCCAACAGCTGCTAAACTCAATGCATAAATTTGTCATTGTGTAACCAGAATATTCTTTTTTTAAAGTTATTTATTGTGTATGTACCATTGTGCACATGTGTGGAATTCAGAAGAAAACTTGGAGGCACTTTTGTCTCTCCATCACACTCATGTAGTCAGGTACGGTGGCAAGTGCTTTTCTCTCACAAAGATCCGCCTGCCTCTGCCCCCCTCTGATAAAATTAAAGTTCGGCTGCTACACCCAGCCTCAGTATTTTCTCAATATGAAGCACTGTGGTTTAGGAAAGCCAGAGTGTGGAGCCCATTCTCTATGGTGAGTTACCTTGCTTAGCCCGGGGCAGGGGTGTGTGGGGCTGTGTGTGGGTGTGTGGTATGAGTTGGTCCTGCCTCAACTGGGTGATAAGACAGACTTAGTTGACTTCCTAGGGCAGGCCTTACCCTCTAAGAGAAGCCATTAGGAGGTGGGGGAAGAAGGAGGGAGGACAGGAAGAGAAGATGGAGGGGAAACTGGGATTAAAATAGGGTGTGTATGGTTTATTTCAAAGCACAGCTTCTCTTGGACACCAGAGGGCATCCCAGTTTTCTTTGAGACAGATTCCTCCTACATCATGGGATAAAGAAATAATTGTAACTGGGTTCTATGTTCAGTGTTCTCTTACCCTCATAGGTTCTGAAGCTCCCTCCATGCTCCATAACCCTGTGGAAGCTGGCTTCAAACTCATAGTGATTCTGTGGTTCACATTATAGACCAACATATCCACTTTCTAGAAATTTTGTAAAATAGAAGACCCTTTCTACTGCCCAAAGAAAAATGTAAACCAAAGAATCCCAACACACTGAACATGGGAAGAGAAAGGAAGAACAGCACTCAGCCTGGCACTGAATGCAAGGTCCTAACAGCCCCCTAGGTGACTGGGTGTGGCAGGAGAAGCAGAAGCCAGCAGGCTAAGATCCCCAGTGCCTGCACTCACCCGGCCTCCTCCAGGCTGGTGCTTGATATTCTCTGTGGACCCAATCTTGGAGCGAACACTCTTCAGACCAGGGGCAGAAGCAGTGGGGGCCAGGCGGCTCAGCCTGGGAGCAGAGGAACTAGGTTTAGCTGAGATGGGCTTCTTGTCCATAGAAAGAGCCTCAGAAGGCCGGGAAGGTGCAGATGTGGGCTTGACTCGAGTAGAAGTCATCCCTGCTGGGGGTGCTGCCCCCGCGGCAGTGGTGTTTCTCTTCACAGAACTGGAAGAGGTGGTCTTTGAGCGACTCAAGTCAGCTGCAAAGAAATGAAAAGTAGCAGGAGTTCATGGGGGAAGAGGGAGCCTTCCAGTAGGGCAAGTGAAGCGGGCTCACCAGGCTCTGGCAGTCATATTACCTGGTGCAGACTTAGCAGTCGTCCTTTTGACATCAGCGGCTTTTCCCTCAGTTTTAGTGGCTGCACAAACAAAGTCATATTTTTAACAAGATGACCAGCTGAGATTAATTGTTCATCTGACAGCCCCAGAATGCCCGCTCTGAGCCAGTGACTCTGCTTGTTTTTTGGATACAGCACAAAATTAAGCCAGGGGGTGGTGGCATATTCATTTAATCCCAGCACTTGGGATACAGAGGCAGGAGAATCTCTATGAATTCGAAGCCAGCCTGGTCTACAAAGTGAGTTCCATGACAGCCAGAGTGGTTACACAGAGAAACCCGGTCTCACATAAACAAAGCAAAACAGAAACCAAACAAACAAAAAAAAAAAAACCCAAATTAAATAGTCACATGAAGCCTGTGTTCACAATAAACAAGGCCAGAACTATATCCTGCTTTCATCAGTCCCAATAGTGACTTAACAAATATGCCTATGAAATTAAGTTGCCTGTCTCTCTTTTTCATGATAGAGACAGACCCTAGGGCTTCCCACACACTGGTTTTATCATGAGGCTGGCTGGACCCATAGACACAAGGTGCTGGGATCTATGAAGTCACTAACAATAAAGTAACTAATGCATCTGAGAATTCACAAGAGTCACCTTTGCTCAAGATTTTTCAGAATACACACGGCTGCTAAGCTCATGCAGATAAGAACGTGTTAAACCCAGTGCCTGCCTGACTGCTACTGTGCAGGGAGCCTAACACTGAGTGAGGGTTGTTCCATGAAGGAGTCACTATGCTGTCAGTGCCACAGTCAGACACAATGGGAAAGCCCTATCTATTCCCTTCCAACGCGTTACCATAGGAAGGAAGACTGTAATACTCACCGATGGGCCTCTTAGGCAGAGGTGTGGCAGGACTTCTACTGCTTGGCCCAGTGGAAACAAGAGTTGAGGGAGATGTGACTTTTGAAACAGTTGGGGTAGTTTTAGGTCCAGGTCTGAGGGCCGATGCAGGCTTGGATGGCGAGGTCCGCTTTTCAGGAACCTTAGCATCTGTAATTGGCTGGAAATGGCAAAGGGAAAGTGTGAGCTACAGGTCAGGGATGGCCCCGTAGGATTTTATAAGCATAACCAGAAAACAGGAGATGCTATGGACTCTGCAGTGACATGAAAATACATGGTTCCAAGACAAGGACTCCAGATAACTTGAATAAGGTGTTTAATGCTTGTGGTATCAGCACACTTGGAAGGTGTATATAAGAAGACTGTTATGAGTTTGAGGCTACCACAGACTATACAGTGAGTTCTAGAACAGACTTGCCCCCATAGTGAGACAGATCACAAAACAAAACAAGAAGGATCTCACAGCCTATTCTACAGAGTGAGTTCCAGAACAGCCAAAGTTACACAGAGAAACCTTGTCTTAAAAAAAAAAAAAGAAAGAAACTAATATAGTACTACTATAGTACACTTACACAGCTACTCAGCCCTGCAGCCCCCTTTTCTTTGCTAGGTGCACTGTTCAATAAGCCTTAGTGAGGACCTACTGTCCTGGATGCCAGTCACCTTCCTTCCACCCTCTGTAACAATAATGGATCTTTAGGAGCCAAGGGAATAAATAAAGAAAGCCTTCTGAGATTGATGATAGCATTTCTCAGCTTCTTAGGCAGTGTTTCAATTTAGTCCCTAGGGTTACAATATAATAGTACCCTGTTCACATGGGAATCACTTCCCACCATGAATTTAAAGATACCAATAGGGTAAAACAAGAGCTTAAGGAAGGCAGTCATTCCTCCAAAAACATCCTGAAAGCAGTGCAGCACTAAATGTGTACTGGAAGGATGGACATCGAAAGGAGCCCAGTTACAAGTGGCCTACAGCAGCAAGTTGTCACATGATCCTGGACCTTGGTGAGCTCTGCTAGAAAGGACAGCATGCTGCTGAGAATTGGGAAAACTTTATACTGTAGGATGGTTAAAGAGAAAGGCAAATAATGAAATTGGATGTAAGAATTCTTCCCCACCCCAAACTATATGATTAGTCTGTGAACTACAGGAAACTGATCAAAGTACATTAATTAGGTGAAGAGTAAGGAATTATGAAAAAGGAGTAAGCTTGCAGGTGGTCCTGCACTTGGAGGCAGAGGTAGGCAGATCTGAGTTCTGAGTTGAAGCCTGCTTGGTCTATGGAGCAAGTTCCAGAATAGCCAGGGCTACACAGAGAAACCACAGAAGAAAAGGAGGAGAAGAAAGAAGAGAAGGAGGAGGATGAAGAAGACTAAAAGTAGATAGTTGATTCTGACCAGGGCAGACAAAAGTAAAAAGTGTTCCCATGCTCTCACCAATAGGCACCCAAACTTCGGAAAAAGCATGTACTTGCCCTTCCCCTACACTTTCTCAATTCCACCAGTTCATCACCTGTAGCACCAAGAGCCTACACCAAGGTCTCTATTGACCTGAACTCAGAGAGGGAATCTTTTCCTGGCACAGTATATGGACACCTACTTACCTTTGGTTTCACGTCTCTTGCAGGTAGGGTAGAAGGTCTGGTAGTAGCAGTGGCAGCAGCAGGGCGTTTGGGTGGGGCAGCTGGCACTGAGCCTGAAGCAAGGCTCATGGGTTTTTTATTCAACCCACCAGTAGTGGTGGGAGCTGGCTGCTTAGGGAGAGAAGTGGGCTGTGTTTTGGCTTTCGATGTTGAAGTCTTGGCAAGTTGAGTGGTGGCCAAAGGCTTTAGGTTGATGGTTGTTTAATTTTTATTTAAAAAATTTTAAAGAACATCAAACACACAGACAAGAATAAAAACAAATTAAAATAAAGTATAAACTGCACAATTCAAAGAAAAATTATAAGCAATGAGGATTGATGCAACTGAAAATTAGCATTTCTTTCTTCTGAGCTCAGTAAACAATAAGGTGATAATAAGATGGAGATAAAGAAACTAAAACTTTCTTCTTGATTCTTGAACTCAAGGTCTTAAACATGCTAAGAACATGTTCTATCACTGAACTTTGGAGATGTTTTCTTTAATCACAATGCCACAAATTCCAGTAGTAAGGTTAGTAAACAATTTAATAATAGCTTTGTTATCAATTAACTTTTGGTTACGGTAAGTCATTACTGGCTGGATCTCCTTTTATTTTTTTTTTTAATAGGATCTCTGCTATGGTACAACGGCTGGCATATACCTCAAGATCTTCTAGCCTCAGGCTTCCAAACTGCTAAGATGATAGGGATAGGCACCACACCCTGCTTTTCGTACCTATGTCTTAAACAAAGCGCCTATATTTTTACAAAGTAGTTTTGAAGCTATGATCTGATTAAAAAAAAATTAAAAAAAAAAAAAAAACCTTCATTTCCTTTTCCTGAAAAGATTTCAGAGTAAGTCTATAATTGCTTTGTGTTGTTAGTAAGGGAAAAGTGGGTCATTTATACATTGACGAAAGTGGACATATTAAGACCTAGTATGAAAAAGCCATGGGTACAGTGGTATAGAGTGCTTGCCTCGGAAGTACAAGGCCTAGGGTCTTGTACAGAAGACAAACAAGTATCTAATGAACATTTACACAAAAGGGCAAAGGCAGGAGATTTGGACATTTGGGTTAAGCCATATGAACAAATGGAAATATAGTCTCTAAGAATATCTAAATTTGAAAAAAGTTGAGGCAGCTCAGAAAAAAGACACTGCATTCATGATTCAAGCAAATACAGCAAAAGGTTCTGTTTTTAAAAATTACTGGAAAGAATAACTATGCCATTCAATCACCTACCTTTGCTTTCTTTTCTGGGCTGGGTGGCAGCTCCTTGTTTGGTGGAGTAGTGATGTCATTTCCTGTTACACCTACAGCAGCTTTTCCTTCTTCTTGCCTGGCTATTCCTAAAGAGTAGAGAGTCAATGGTAATTATCTTAAACAAGTTTGTCTTTGCAATCATTTTAACACAGAAGGCTCAGTTGAGAGAGCTCTGACTTGTGTTCCATTCTGAAGAACCCTGCAGGGCGATGCTGTTGAGGATGGCCACAGCCCTATGAACTCTCTGTGATCACAGCAGTTCTAGGAGCACTTGTCCTATGCTGACTTGTCCAGGAGCTGATAATTGGTGGAAGGAAGGGAAGAGCCCTTAAAGTCTCCTTTCCCTTGACACCAACAAAGAGCTTCTGTCACCCAAATACCTACTCCCTGAGAACAAAGGGAACAAAAACCTCTTCTACTATAGTCTATCCCTGGAATAAAGGCTGCTGAGAGATGGGGCAAGAGCCAGCTCATCCAATGCCCCAGCCTTACTTCCTTTCCCTGTAGAGAGCCACTTACAGAGGTTGTGAGATTAGGCTGCTCCAGTTCTAACAGTGACCTAGATTTCCAACAAGGCTGAGACCCACAGAAAATAACGGCATCAGCCTAAGCTAGCAAAGCTCCTTCTTCTCCATACTTCAGATGCCAATAAATCTTGCCTAGAAGCACTATGGTACTACAATATGTGGAACCCTAATGTGGAAAAGATTTTCTGATTAGTGCAAAATCCAGAACCACAAAAAAGAAATGCAAACTCATAAAATCCAAAAGGCAATTGCCAAACATAACAATATAATTGAGTCTCATCTCGAATATAAAGAGATTAATTATATATATAAGTCCTGCTACAGAGAAAGCCTGTCTCAAAAAACCAACATCACCACCAAAATATGAAAAGATGAGCCAGTACAGTAGTACATGCCTATAATTCTTTTTTTTTGTTTTGTTTTTGAAGACAGGGTTTCTCTGTAGTTTTGGAGCCTGTCCTGGAACTAGTACTATAGACCAGGCTGGCCTCAAACTCACAGAGATCCCTCTGCCTTTGCCTCCCGAGTGCTAGGATTAAAGGTGTGCATCACCACGGCCCATAATTCTAATACTGGTGGGGAAGTAGTAGCGGCCAGAGTTCACAAGGTCAGCTGTAGCTTCCTAGTGAGTTTGAGGCCAGAGTGGCCTATGTGAGATCTAGTCTCAAAAATCAAGCAATAAGGGCTGAAGAAATCTCAAAGGTTTAGAGCACCAACTTCTTTTGCAGAGGACCTAGGTTTGGTTCCCAGCACCCATGTTGTAGCATAGAGATTCTAGTACTAGGAGATCCCAGGCACCAGATATACATGGTACATAAGCATATAGACAAAAACATCTATGAAATAAAAAATAAACCAATCTTAAAAGAAAAAACAAAAAGAGTTGACAGTTCATATCTTGGATCCTCTTTCTTTTAATCATGATGACCTATTTGAGTATCTTTCAGATGCAGAATTTTTAAATGTTTTGAAATTCACTGCTTTGTACAGCGTCTCAGTACTAACAGCATTAGAGACAGAACAGTAGAATAAACTCCTGATTTTTCTGCAGCAGAACACACAACTTGCACATTCTAGGCAAACACATGACTGCTGAGTTATATTCTGAGCACCTCACCCCACTTTAAAATAAAATGTTCTAGGGCTGTAGAGACAGCTCAGTGGGTAAAGCAGGTACATGGAGACCTGTGTTTGGTCCCTAGAATCCATAGGAAAATGCCTGCTTGTAATGTCAGTGCTAGGGATGCACAGACTGGCCACACATGCAGTCTACCCCAATGGAGATTCAGGACAATGAGAGACCTAGTTTCAAAACAGGGGGTGGTGTTCCTAAGGATGGCACCTAAGGTTGTTGTCAGTAAACACAAATGTGTCATATGCACCTGCACACACACCAATACTCAGGCATAAAAGGTGTTAGATTTATTTCTTGTTCATATTTTAAGCCTCATATCAGATAATACTCTTTCTTCTGTTAATCAAATATGGCTTAAAAATTCATTGGGTATATATAGTCTATAGTATTAATGCCTTTTTACCTATTGCTGTTTTCCCATTACTGAAATTCCAAATCCCCCTTCTGTTACATCTCATCTCACCTTTTGGGAGGTTTTCTGTTAGCTATCTTTAAGGGTCTGTGCACTAGATACAAATGCTCTTATTTGTCCTTGAATTTCTGTCTATTCTATTCCTGGATAGCTTTGCCATCACTGATGTCACCTATTTCTTGTTAGCCACCTGCTACTGCCTGTCCTCAGGTTTCTGTCAGGAACAGTCATTCATTCCTGGATAGACAGCCCTCAGTCCCTTTCTACCACTTTCAAGATTTTTATCTTTTTGTAAAAGTTCCTGCTAACTTGTAAAAACTTAGCTATGAGGTATTGGGCATTTTTCACATTTGGAATTTTCAGTTCAGTCTCTTGTTTTGTTTTTCCCCAATCCTCTCCCAGCCCACCCCAGCCCACTTCCCCCTGCTTTTTTTTGTAGACCAGGCTGGCCTTAAATTTAACTCGGAGCTTGTTTGCAGTTTCTAGCAGGGGAGCCCAGCTACCTGTATACCCTTGACCGGTCCTCCTCTATTTAGGAAAGGGACACACATGGAGCGATGAGGGAGGAAGGGGACACCCACCTAACCAGCCAGATCAGCTGAATCAACCCTGGTGACCAACTGGGCGACAGATCGTCCTCACATCCTCAAATTTAACTCAGAGATCCACCTGCTTCTGCCTTCCCAGGCTGGGATAAAAATCCCACACCTGGCTTAGTTTCTTGAATCTTTATGCTACCATCTTTTGCCAAATTCGATGATTTCATGGAACAGTCGTTGAGTCTTGCATCCTCTTTCACATTTAAAGTCTCTGAGGGGAATAGCTATCAAAGGCCAGGTTTTTAAAAATTATTGTCCCTGTCCTTACGGGAATCTGCTATTTTTTCCAGTCTATTTTTCACTATTATTCAGATGATGAAACTGAGTAATTTCTACCCATCTGCCAAATTCATTGACACTGTTTTTTTAAGGATGAAACCCACAGCAAATGCTCAACCACTGATATATTAAGATCTGCTGATTGTACCTCATTTTTATTGTTGTAGATTTTTTTGGGGGGGGGGTTGTTCAAGACAGGGTTTCTCTGTATTGCTTTGGAGCTGGTCCTCAAAATTGTTCTGTAGAACAGGCTGGTCTCAAACTCACAGAGATCCACCAGGCTCTGCCTCCCAACTGCTGGGACTAAAGGGGTGAGCCTCTACCACCACCATCCAGCTTGTTTTAGATTTTTAAGACTTACTTATCTACTTTATGTATATGGGTATTTGATCTGCATGTACTAAGTCAGAAGAGGGCATCTGATCCCATGGGACTACAATTATAGTTTTGTGAGTGCTGGGAATTGAACCCAGGGATCTTCTTAACCACTAAGCCATGTCTCCAGCCACTTGTTTTAGATTTTTGCTTTGTCTGTATGTCTTCCTTCCTTCCTTTGTTAGAAAAGGTTTGAACTCTGTAGGATAGGTTGTCCTTGAACTCACTGTATTATAGCAGGATGACCTTGAACTTGTGGCAAACTCCTGCCTTAGCCTCCTGAGTCCTAGGATTGCAAACATGTACTGCCATGCTGACATAAAATTTTATAACATGTATAATTAACAATAGGTCATCTTTTAAATAACTTCTATTGCTTTCTTGAGATTTACTTTTTTTTTTTTTTGCTCTTTTTCTCTGCATTGCATTCTACTGGAAGTCACTCTGTAGACTAGGCTGGCCTAGAACTCAAGGAGATGTGCTTGCCTCTGCCTCCCGAGTGCTGGGGTTAAAGGCATGCACCACCAACACCTGGCTATTTATTTATTTTTTTTTCAAGTGTATTTAAAACATTTTATAGGGAACTCAGAGGTTAGTTAAGAGCACTAGCTGCTCTTCCCAGTAACCATAAGGTGGTTCACAAGCATATATAATGACATCTGGTGCCCTCTTCTGGTGTGCAGGAATGTAGACAGAACACTGTACACATAAGAGAATGGAGTCCTTCAAGTTGTCCTCTGGCCATCACATACATGATACACAACAGCCCAAATGCTCAACTCACCAAAAATAAATGTCATGAAGTAGTTCTTAAAAATAATTTGTGACTTATTTTTGGTATACATTTTGTGTGTGTGTGTGTGTGTGTGTGTGTGTGTGTGTGTGTGTGTGCATGTGTGAGAGAGAGACAGACAGAGACAGAGAGGGGCATGAGAGTGTTATATTTAGCATGTAGATTTTGGCTGTGTTTCAAGTGAAGTTTATCATTTAAAGTCCTAGCAATAAATTCTGAGCACTGTGTTCTTTTGGTCCCATTGAGTCTCCCAATCCATGTTGCTACTACTTGAAAGAATTGAAAGCAATTCCCTGGGTCACTGGGCATTACTAGTAGTAGTTAGGAGCTAAGTAGTGATGTACTCCTCCTGGGAATGAATAATAAAAGTCCCCTGGACTATTCTTTGGCCATGTAGGGAGGACAGCCTGTTGCATCTTGAGATGCTACTGGAAAGGAGGTAGAAAACAAAAACACCTCTGTAGCTTTTTAAACCTGCCTCTGGGTAGAGGACTGTCAGACAAGCAAAGCAGCCCATGTCCACAGTTATTGCTTGGTGATAGCAGGGGATGGTAGGCCTCCCTGAAACTGCTGCAATTGTGGGTAGATCAGGTCAATAGCCAGAGCATGGAACAGAAAAATGTGTCATAAGCTGTAACAACACAGTGGACTGCCCAATGCTGGGTATATTCAGGAAAACAGGGTTTACAACTAGGATCTTACTAGTCTTCCTTTTTTCTTATAACAAACAAACAAACCCCACCCAATTTATTTATTTAGTGTGCATATGGCAAGGGGTACCAAGGCGTATATGTGGAAGTCAGGGTTCTTTGCCCTCATCCTGGAGGAATGAATCCCAGGTGAGATGAGGCTTTACCTGCTGAACCATCTCATCCTTTCTAGTCCTTATGCAAATCACACTGGACCTGTCTCTCTTTTCATTCTCTTCTCCTCCTCCTCCTCCTCACTACAAATACTGCTACTGCC